AGAAAAGAGAAAGCTCTTATCCCTCAGGGAGCAGCAACCTTCAAGTCTTAGATCGACCCCCTCCTTTTTGGTTGGCGCCGACTTGGCGGTCAGATGAAGAATCTCGGGCCCTAGTCCCTCCCCAGAATTACCACAACAAAGAAGGCGCAAGCGACAAAAATGCATAAAAACTCCGAAGGTAGTGGCAGGATCCTGATACCAGGCCTGCCATCCCCCCCTTCCCAGACTCTCTGCAACTATAGCGCCTTCTGAAGAAGGTTCCCTCTCAGAGGCAAGAGAGTCTTTTATGGTCTCAGTTGCTTTTCGTCATTCCTTTGGCGCAATGGTTTTTCTCCCGAGGAATGGATCTGAACATGACATGCTCCCGGCGCAACAGGGGCTGGGAATTGACCGTCCAGATCTGGGGCTGGGAATCGACCGCCCAGATCTGGCTCTATCACCCGTTGGCCGACCAGATCTGGCTAGGTTGGGAACACCATTGGTCTATCAGGACAGCCTCAGGGTGGGATAGGTCAAAGGATTGGGTCCTCTTCAGTAGACCTCCAGCTGGGACCAATCTCAGGCAAGGATGCGGCATTGCAGCTTGGTCTGCAGAAGAATAGTAATGGAAGTGTTATGGAAGACCAGAAATGCAAAAGTTTTCAGGGACGAAGACTGGCCATGCACTAACAAGCGAGGGTGATAAAAGTTCTCTTAAGACTGCCTATCATCTCAGATTGAAGAAAGTCTAAAGAAAGACGTGGAGGTGTTTTAATGATAATCGGAATGCAATTATCATTGAACAGCACTACCTGACAATGTATGGATAATAGGTCAGGTTGTTTGCCAATATCAGGATCGAGCAATGATAAATATTTTTCGTTTACAACAGGATTTTTTTTTGGCCAGGTATGATCCAGACAAAGTGGAGTGGGTGCTCAACAAAATGTTATACAGGATTAGGGTCCTACTTCACAGAATATCTAGCCACACAACACTTGCTCGATGGCGAGCCTACTACCCGGAAATCCCAATAGCAAAACTTCCTTTTGACCCTGAGGAATCGGCATGTAAGGTTTTAAAGAGAGGTAAGACCAGAACGCTTCAATCTCTGACTGTCAAGGCAGCCTATCGGATGTCGAGACACAAAGTCGATGCTCCGGCGATTGTACAAGATAGATGGGTAAGACATCTCAACATTCACATAGATCAGTTTAGATCAGTACGATGGTTCCGGTCCACTAAAGGAAAGGCCAGCCAAATTTGCTTCACTCCAATGACAAATTATGCATAGATGTTTGTCTACCAATGACTTGTGACACGCAACCTCACGCCCTGTGCTGTCTTCCGTTCGGAGTGTAAGTTGTGCGGAAAAGAGGCCCAAAAAAACAGCAAGATGGGGTGTGCGCAGGACTTTTGAAAATTGAGTGTGGGGACACAGACGAAACTGAAATCCCCCGTGTTGGTCCGATGGAGCAAGTCGATCGTTTTCGCGCGTCGACGAATGCGCGCGCGGGCAAGGCGGGAAGAGAGGGAAAAATCCGAATTCAATCCAAAAAGTATTGTCGTGCCTCCCACCGGGCCACAGCCCGTCGTTTAGAACAGAAAGGCTTGGGCACGCTTCGCGTGTCCCGTTTTCGTATCAAGTCTCGTTGTCGTTCGCTGGTTAGTTACGAGTCTGACGTGGAGGGTCTCAGTCACGTGGCTCTTTCTTTATGCTCGTCTTCACTTCGCACATGGTAGTGGAAACCCCTTGACTCGTAGCGCTCAAAACGCTGACATTCGGTGCACAGAGTGCGCGGCCAGTGGGGTTCTACTGTCGTCCACGGAATGACGATCAACTCGTTAAATGACAACAATACCGAGTAAGGTGGGAAGTGCGTATCGATAATAACAAACCCATCTTCTACGAAACCAGAACAGCGGTTGGCCGGGGGGAAGTAATACTGCCCGCCGATTTGTGCAACGGCTTCTCGTACTTCCCACTCACATACACGTGTCCTTTCCTCACTGTAAGGAAAAGGTCGCGTTGGGATGGGAGATACGGGAGGTTGGCGCCCAATCGAAGGGTACTTGTCAGTCCACATGTCAATCAATCACAAAATATCCCGAGACGTCATTAGTAACAAAAGCGATTCGCGCGTCCCTCAATCAATCTTTTTGACACAAGAGAGAGAGAGCAAAGACAGATCAGCTTGATCACGCATATGGCTACGGGTCCGATCAGTTCAACACAACGTTGGTCCCTAGGCGCGTTGTTTGTAAGGGCCGCCTCGTGGCTCGRCTGCTGATGTCGTGCAGCATAAGGCAGATGGCATGCACAGTGCAAACAAAGCTACAAATCTAAACACTCTTGCATTCTCGAACAAAATCCCSACGACAATCGTCTAATCAACAAAAGAGTCACACATTCCATACATGCATTCACTGTGGAAGGTGCGAAAAGGAAATATGCACAGGAAAAAAATGGACCGCATTACTCAGTACACACGCATCCACCATTCACAAGACGAGAAAACAGGATCCGTGCGTAGGAGGATTACCCAGGAAACAAATGGAAGAGTTCCAGAAGAAGTTCTTTCACACAGAATGCCAACTCATTTTCATTCAAGAG